ACTAAAGCCCTAAACTCACAAGCCACCAGATAAATATTTGTGCTAACAAAAATATAAAAACTCCAAACTATATTAATTTAATCGGTCTGATCCGATATTAATCCATTCTTAAAATACAGACTCGGTGTTGTATAAGTATCACACGGTACGGTTTCCAGATGAGATAAATGTGTAGAACGTACTTTTTAAGAACTTGTTCTCCATTGGATACTATATGGTTGGTTGGGTTTTAATGCATGCGCACCCGTAATATTATAAGTTCCAAAACAAGAAAGGAGTCAACATTTGGAAATGTAATCCAATCACATCATCTATTATAAATGAAAAAAACTCATGCTCATTATTAGACGTAAAAGGAAAAGAAAGCATTCATAGTAATAGGAAGGCGTAGGTACGGACGTTATACATGAAGCAATGATGACTGATATGTAAACTATGAATGATAACAATTCATTCATTCATTCAACGTACAGGTGTGTATAAATGTATATCTTTGAATGATGGAGGTGATGCATGCAACAGATAAGATACTCCGTATGAAAGAATATAATTGCGTGCGTTGTAGGTACACACACTCACATGTAGTATATATAAATATATAAGGTAGGTAGGTTACACGTACATACATAATACCCCAGGTAGTGAAAGCTGCAAGCAGGATGGTGAGGAAGTGCAAAGGTAGGCAGAAGATTGAGATGATGAGGATGTCCAAGGAGAGCAACCTTTTGGTGACGTTCTCTAAGCGAAGGTCGGGGCTGTTCAAGAAAGCGAGCGAGTTGAGTACACTGTGCGGTGTGGATATCGCCATAATTGTCTTCTCCCCTGGGAAGAAGGTGTTCTCTTTTGGGCACCCGAGCGTGGAATCGGTGGTGGACCGCTTCCTCGCTCGGATGTGGAATAGCAACAGCAGCAGCAATAGCAGTGGAAGTTGCCATCAGCAGCAGCAGCAGCTGATAGAGGCTCATCGGAATGCAAGCGTGAGGGAGCTGAACATGCAGCTGATGGAGATCTCGAACCAGGTGGAGGTGGAGAAGAAGCGCGGGGAGGGTTTGACGAAGATGAGGAAAGACAGTGAGGAAAAGTGTTGGTGGGAGGCGCCGGTGGAGGAGCTTCGGCTGGAGGAGCTGGAGCAGCTGAAGGGCGTGATGGAGGAGTTGAACAGCGGTGTGGGCAAGCAGATTCAGAAGCTCCAGCTCCTCATCATTGACTCTAACCCCTTTTTTACTCCTAACAATAAAGGGTCCCTATCCGCCCCTCATCCTTATACTGCACCCTTCTTCTCATCCATATAAATCTTTCTTTCTATAAACCATCATATCATCTTCAATTAAATAATACTGCATTAGCGCAACTCGATCAACCCTGGAATTTTGTACGTGTTGCCCTAATTAAATATTTAATATAAATACACACATATATATATATTAATATGTACTGTGACATTGTTCTTCAATTTAGTACATTCTTTTGTAGAGCTGACTAACTATTACAGAGTTTTATTAATAAATTAAATGCAAACAAGTACCAACGCCAATGAAGGTAAAAAAAATAAGAGAGAGAAATAAATTTTTTTAAGGAACAACGCTAATGTAGGAAATAGAGAAACCAACACTCGCCTTCACGATACCGACATCTCTGTCCCAGCAACAAATCTTTTGCCATGATGCATATATGTATCGCACATGAAAACGAGAGTGCTAAGAGAAATCTAAATAACCATAAAATTTAGAGTCCAATATTTCTTGGTAACTGTCTCGTCACGTTTTCAAAGAGGATCTTAAGTCACTATTAGAAAATTGTCGTCCAGTGACACTTAAATTAGATGTCACTATTTTACGACATATATTTAACATAACCGATATGTGTCATAAATGTATGATACAATTATGTAAATACGTTACAATGATGCTACATACATGTATTAAGTCATTTTTGTGAGCGGGAATTTTTCCACTTGGTAACATATTTCCGCCGTTGCTTTCTTCATACCACACAAGAAAAATCCCTAGTTAAGTTTTTCCATCACTAAAACAAATTTAGTTTCCTTTCTTATTAACTATTACCTTATTTAGTATCACACAAAAAACCTAGCTCACAATCAATTTGAGAAACCCCCATCCCAGCTTACAACGAACGCCTCATATATCGAACATCTCCTTCAAATATTCCTTCCGGTGCAGTGGAGGACGCACTAAGAGTCCCACGGGTCCATGCACATCCAAATGTTGCAACTCTTAAATAATTTATTTTTCTTTAATCATAACTTTTAATGTATGTGAACAATGCAAAAAACCCAATGTTGCAACTCTTAAAGAACGGATGAAGTATATATCTATTTTTTCAAAAAAAAAAAATTCAGTCATTTAATTCATCAAAAACTAGTATAAAAATATTAAATAAGTGATCGTCTTTCCAAATATCATTTATTTGTTGGTTTGATATTAATTTTTTATGTATTAAATGGCTGGATTTCTTGTAGAAAAGTGACTGAATTTATTTTTGTTCTACACTAAAATAGTTGTTATTATTAAAATTTATTTCTAGAGTATATACTATTCTTGATTCATGGAAGATAGTTGTAATTATTTAAAGTTATTTTTCCTATTTATTATTCTAAAATATCAAAACTACATCGTTTTGGCATTTCTAAAAAAATTCTAAACTGTAGTCCGTATATCAGTTACAATTAATTTCACCCAATGATATTTTTTAATATGAAATATAATTATTTTGAATATGAAAGTTTTATTAAAACATTTCTTATTCAAAACATTTTCATAAATGTATAAAATTTATAAATTATATACAAATATAATAATTAAAATCATTATCCAAAACATATTGTTATTGATCAAGAAAAGTTAATTTGGCGAACTTTTTTTTGGAATGAGAGTAACATTAATTAGAGTTGCACTAGGGTAGGGACCTAATGACTTTGTTTTTCTAGGTCCGCCACTGTTCCCGTGCTTGAAGAATTATCTGGGCTCAACTTGCAAATATACAAGTGTCGATTTTAGTAATCAATAATGGTAAAATATTGGGTCGATCTAAAGAAAAACATTTAATTTTATAAAGTTTGGAATTTGAGTTCTAAAGTATGATATAAGCTGCGTGGATTTCTCTATCTTGATATAGTATTAAAAACAAGAATAAGAACTATTAAGGAATTTTATCAATCCAGGACCTAAAAGATACATCAATTATCAATTCGGGACCTGAAAGATGAAATGTATTGGTATATGACCTGAATGATGAGAAACTATCAATTTAGGACTCGAATGATTGATAACTATCAATATAAGAATTAACTTTTCATAAATTTTATTAAATTTTTTATTTTAAAAAATTTAATAGTATTTAATTTTATTTAACTAATAAAGTTTTGTGAAGAAAAATTCATCAAATATTAGCAATGGAATTAATAAAAATTTAAATAAATCAAAACCTATGAAATGTTAGATCCTAGATTGATAGTTTTTCATCATTCGGGTCTTATATCGATACATTACATCTTTCAGGTCCCGGATTGATAATTCGTGTATCTTTCAGGTCCCGGATTGATTCATCATTCGGGTCTTATATCGATACATTACATCTTTCAGGTTCCGGATTGATAATTCGTGTATCTTTCAGGTCCCAGATTGATAAAATTCCTATTATCAATGTATATGGGTTCCCCTATACGTTTAACAAGAGTTTAATACTAGTTATTTGTCAATTATTATGAGTACAATGTCGCTAAAATATTCATGACTCCAGTTAAGATAGTGGGACCGTGGTTTTCGTTACGTGCAAGTCCCATTCATCTACCGAAAACCCCGTTGAATATCAAGACATCACACACATACATCACACTGGATATATTGTTATTCTCGATATGTGTATGTTTATCCTTTAATGTTCATTGTTTAGACCCCAACATTAATTATAAGTATAAACTAACTTTAAAATACATCTATGTTGATCACCATAGTCATAAAAAATCAAAATATAAATGATAAATTACAATTTATTGGTTCATAACTTTTATCAAACACCTAGTGAACATAGAGGTTCATCTTGAGCTATATATTAGAAATTAGCCTCTAATGTCATACTGATCACATTCGAAAATTAAACCTAATTGAATGTAAAAATACAAAGGAAATAATATCTAAACAACAATGGTTAAGAAGTATGATCATTCACGTCAAAAAAGAAGAAGAAGTATGATCATCCTTCTTCAAGAACACCAAAATATCAAGAATAAAATATAAAAGACTAAAATGAATACAAGGATTGGGTGATGAGAAAGGGATAGAAATGGAATTTTCAATAGGTTAAAGATTGAAATCTTTCGGTCTATTCACAATCATATATCAGATTCTATGAAATTTCTGAACTCCTAACCATCAAATATCTTCACATCCCTTAAAACATATGCAACATGTAACACCGCCCCCAAGTAATTGTACTTTATCAAATTATGTATTGAACCCTGAGAAATGAATAAACACATCTTTACGCGATTGTAAAATTTTTATCATTTCTTCTACGTGAGTATTAGAATTCACGTGGAGCCCACACCGGGAGTGGGGGGCCACCCGATATTGTCGGGACCGCATATTATATTCATTTGGGTCAAGATAATATGTGTGTAATGGTTGATATCCTTGTTGGGTTATAGAAATTATATGAGTAACCATTTGGACATATGAAGCCCATTTATCAGTACCAAAGTAATATCGGATAAAAAGCCATAATAAATTATGGAGACCACCAAATTAAAAGTTGGGGAATTTAAATTCATTCTTATAGCCAATAATGATTGGAAGAATGATAGATATTTCATTTTACCCGATAAAATGAAATATAGTTAAAACAGTCCGGAAAATACAACTTTCGGGACCAAGTGTACACTTGGGGACACAAAGGGATGACCACCCATTTAAGTGGGGGCCACCCCACGACTTTGTCTTGCAAATAGCAAGGGGAGCCGCACCCTTGGACTGCTGAGGGGTGTTGAGAGGACTTGGAGACAAAGAGTGAAAGGCAAGGGGACCCTCACCCATGTTAATTGATGAATAAGCCAAAGTGACTATCTCCATCATCCCTACACCCATATGCTCGACCCATCCTCCATCTAAAGAGTAGGAATCTCTGCAAAAAAAAACTCCATTTTCATCCACCATTCACGCACCAAGCAAGGGGAGGAAGAAAGGAGGAAAGAGGAGAAGAGAAAAGAGGAGTTAAGGTGGGAAAACTTGTGATTTACAAGGTAATCACTTCATTAATCCCATTTCTTCTCTTTAATCATGTTTCATGCTCCTAGGATAGTTCTACACATGTAAAAGTGTAGAATGGGAGTTGGGGAGTTGGTTTATACCCAAAACGAACTTTGAGAGCAAAGTTGACGGGTTCGTCGGAAAATAACCTTTTAGAGGTTATTTGTGGTGATATGGGTTTTATGATGATAAAACCTTGTTATTAACTTGTATAAGGTATTTCAAGAACTTTCACGGAGTTGAAAGGGGCGCCGGAGTTGTCGCCGGAGTTCGTTGAAGTTCACCGGAGTTTCACCGGGGCTAAATCGGAAAGGCTAGAACTTCATAGGCTTCAATAAGGTGAGAAGACGGCTATATGCTTTATAACTTTTGATTGAGGCATGAGATTACCTAAAGTAATCAAGTATATGTTTTACGGAATGATTAAAGTTAATCAAGTATTGGCTTATGCCATGATTATATATAAAACAAAGTTGAAAAGCATGTTTTGTATGTTTGGTGAGTAAAAATGTGATAACTTATTATGTACAATGATCCAGGGGTCAAAAATGGTATTTTTGGATCAAGGGCTTCAAGTAGATTATGCATGTAAAATTTCACGTTAATCGGACTCCGTTTGGGCGGTCAAACGGGCGTTGACCGCCAAGTCAACTACAATACCCGACCGGGTGTCTGCTGAGAAATTGGCCCCAAGGGCCGCTGTCTCCTATACCCGATCGAGTATGTATAGATACTCGACCGAGTATGCCTTGAAAATTAGCCTTATGGGCTCCTGTCTCCTGTACTCGACCGAGTATTGATGGGTACTCGATCGAGTATTGGGTTATACTCAAAACGGGTAGTTTTTGAGTGGGTTAACGTGGATCGATCAGGTGGGACCCGTCCACGTTGGTTACTAAGGATTATTATATGACTATAGGACTAGGTATTGTCCATAGTTAAGTGAATGCAAGGTTAGCCATATCCGGGTTAGGGTTTGGTTAGAAATAAGGTTGAGGTTGAGTATCCTCGGGACGGTAAATGATCCTAAAACTCGGTTGAGGTTGAGCATCCTCGGGACGGTAAATGATCCTAAAACTCGGTTGAGGTTGAGCATCCTCGGGACGGTAAATGATCCTAAAACTCGGTTGAGGTTGAGCATCCTCGGGACGGTAAATGATCCTAAAACTCGGTTGAGGTTGAGCATCCTCGAGACGGTAAATGATCCTAAAACTCGGTTGAGGTTGAGCATCCTCGGGACGGTAAATGATCCCAAAACTCGGTTGGGGTTGAGTATCCCCGGGAGGGTTAACACTCCTGAAACTCGGTAGGATATTATGAAGGTAGAATGTAGCTCTTAAGCTAGGCATTCAGGAATGAAAGGGGAAAGGTTGAGTGAGTACCTTGTCTCTAAAAGACTCTTTTGTGAGAAAATGACCTACGGGTCAAGTATTTTACAAGTATATACACTATGTATTATCTTGGGAATGGGGTGACAATGGTTACACCTATGAATATATGTATCATCCTATTTTTGGGTCTCGTGTCTGAGACATTAGTTATTCCTCATATAGCCTGCTTGTCACTAGTACTTCTATGGAGTACTGACCCCTTCGGGGGCCCTCACATTTTTCAGGTTGAGGCTAGAGTCCTGCTACCTGCACCTTTGCCCAGGGTGAACTCAAATAAGGAAGACGTGGTTCGTGCTTCCATTCTTATTTGAAATTATGAAACTGCTCATGGATATTTGAACGATGTTTTCTATTAAACTATAGAAGGGCCTGCGTGCTCATGTTTGCCACGTGTGGCTAAATGTCAAACATATTTTATTTCCGCATTTGTTTGATTTATATATTGATGTTGATTGTATGGGTTTACTAATCGGTTTGGCAATAGAATCTATCAGACGCCTTGTATGATTTGATAAGAATGAACTACGTTGTTCTTATTGGGTTGTACGGCGGTTGTCTACGTGGCACGGATGCGGTCCGGGGCGTGACAATTAAGTGGTATCAGAGCCATCGGTTTCTAAACTATATAATTAACCTCTCAATATAGCATCATCAAAAATGTTTTGAGCAAAACCATGAGCAAAAGTTTTTGTACTTAAGGAACCGTTGGAAACCAAGTTATTGACCTCTTATTGTTAAGACGGTACCCTTAACAGTTTGTTGGCCATAATGTTGGACCAAGGGGTGTCTTTTGTACTATTCCGTCAATTGACATTGATACGAGTCTAACGGCTCATTCCAAATTTCTTTCAGAAATGGAGGGTAGAGGCATGGCTACGAGGAACAACCCGAGAGGGCAAACTCCGGTGACGTCCGAAGGGGCTAGCCAGGTTGCATCTCGGGGCGCGAGAGGCGGTAGGAGAGGCCGTGGAGGCCGTGGAGGCCGGGGAGGCCGTCGGGCTCAAACCGTGAGCGATGGCCATGTTAGCTCGGTGCATGGAACTCACACCGAGGATTATGACTCTACCTATGTTCCCGAGACGGAACATGAGGAGACCCCATATGATGGGGGTGATACGTATACTGATGATGACAACGATGAGAGTGATGCCAAATTCGCCCAGATGGGTGAACTGTTTGAGTGGTATCAAAAGGAGAAGTTGAGGAGAAATCTTAGGCGCCAAGCTAGGCGTGCCTCTCAGGGGGCTTCAGGTCACTGAAGCCGGGGAGCATCAGTGGCGTCACAGGAAATGCATGGAGGAGGTTTTTGTGTAAGAATCTCCAAATACCTCAAGGAGGCTAGGGCCTTGGGGTGCAAGTCATTTGACGGCAAGGGTGATATATCGGTGGCTGCCGATTGGATAAAGAAGCTAAATGAGGCTGCTAGGGATATGCAGATCGGGCTTGATATAAAGCTGACAGTTGCTACCAGGTTACTGGAGGGAGTAGCCGCGGTATGGTGGGAAGGCGTGGAAGGAAAGTTCCACGGTGAGACCACCTGGGAGAAATTTGAAGTAGAATTCTATAATCAGTACTACTCAGAGTTCGAAAAGAACCAGAAGAGGAAGGAGTACATGACCCTGGTACAGGAGGAGGATTGCTCGGTGAGGCAACTGGAACAAAGGTTCCGGGACTTGGCACGATACATACCTGAGTACGCCATGGATGAGAACCGCATGGCTAATCACTTCTGGGATACCCTACAGTTGGATATCCGTGATAGGGCCACCTACAATCATCACATGACTTTTAGTGAGATTGTGGATCAAGGGCTACTTGGGGAAGCCAAGTGGAATGAAAGGAAGAAGAGAGACGCCGAAGAGGCGAAGAAAAGAAGATGGGGAAATTCTGGACCCCAAGACCATTCTCGGAAACATCACGCCGGGAATGGAAGATCATTCAGGGCGCCGGAACCACCGGCAAAGAAGAGTAAGGGCCCAGGAGGGCAAGGGCATAGCTCGGGGAACGTGAGGCCACCAAGGTGTCCGAACTGTAACAGGAATCACTCCGGGAAGTGTAATGAACCACCCCGGTGCTACAAGTGTGGTAGCACAAGCCACCTCAAACTCTCTTGCCCAATGTTGAGTGGAGGTGGGCCATCGGGAGCTGTTGAGGCACCTACGTCTGGTAGGGGTCGTGCGGGACCATCTCAAGGCGGCACGGGAAGGGGCGGACCCACGGCCAGTAACGCCGCGTCCGTTAACCAAGGGAGGACCCAAGCACGGGTGTATGCAATGACCGAGGCCGATGCTCGGGCTAACCCGGACTCTATTGCAGGTAACCCCTTGATTCCACATGCAGTTTTTTCATCTGTTTTAAAGTTAAAATCTGCAGGAAACATGTGATACCCGATCGGGTATCCATATATACCCGACCGGGTATGAGCAAATTGCTCGGTTTTGAGGTGGGTACTCGTTCGAGCAAGTTTAGCAGAACCCTCCGATTTTGGCAAATCCAGCCATACTCGACCGGGTATGGTTATATACTCGATCGAGTATTAGTAAATTTTTGTTTTTGAGGCGTGTACTCGATCGAACGGCGTAGGCAGAAAGTTTTATTTAACACTTTGAGTGATACCCGACCGGGTATGGGCATATACCCGACCGGGTATAGATAGTTTGTTCGGGTTCAGGGTGTGTACTCGACCGGGCAAGGATAACAGGGAGTTTTTCCTTAAGGACTCGAGCTATACCCGACCGGGTATAGGGTCCTACCCGACCGGGTATAGTATAGTCCTAAGCCGGGAATTGTTTCGCTAAGTCCTTTTCAGTCGGGACGTTATGTCGAGTGTCTTACATGGCTTGTATATGTAGGGACACTAAAGATCAATGGTAAACACGCGAGAATTCTCATCGACACCGGGGCGCAACGTTCATTTATGAGCGAAGCGTTTGCCAAGGGATTGGGCATGCCGTTAGTAGCAATGGCGCAACCTTTGTGGGTCTCTACACCGTTGGGAGATGATGTAGAGAGGAAGCACTACTATCCTTCATGTAATGTGGAGATAGGGGAGCACCGTCTAATGGGCGACCTTGTACCGTTAGACATGCTTGAGTTCGATGCCATACTCGGCATGGACTGGCTTGAGAAACACCATGCAAAGGTAGATTGCTACACCAAGGTGTTAGAATTAGAAGACGAAGAGGGAAATACTCTGTGCTTCGAGGGAGATAGAGGAAAATTCAATCCCTGTATCATATCGGCCTTAAGGGCGAGGCGGTTGATGAAGAAAGGTTATCAAGCATACTTAGCCTATGTCCTAGGCAAGGAGGGCAAAGGAAAGAGCTTCACGGAGGTGAGGGTGGTGAGGGAGTATCCAGAAGTTTTCCCTGAAGAACTCCCGGGACTCCCACCAGATCGGGATATCGAGTTTGAGATTGAGGTTGAACCCGGCACCAAGCCCATCTCAATTCCCCCGTATCGAATGGCACCGGCTGAACTTCAAGAATTGAAAGTTCAATTGGAAGAGCTACTAGATAATGGATTCATTAGACCGAGTCATTCACCATGGGGAGCACCCGTACTCTTTGTAAGGAAGAAGGATGGTACAATGAGAATGTGTATCGACTACCGTCAATTGAACAAGGTCACAATAAAGAACAAATATCCTTTGCCAAGGATTGACGACTTGTTTGATCAATTACGGGGGGCAACCGTGTTCTCCAAGATCGACTTGAGGTCGGGCTACCATCAACTAAAGATCAAGGAGAGTGACATACCCAAAAGTGCATTCCGTACAAGGTATGGTCACTATGAGTTCCTGGTGATGTCGTTTGGGCTTACAAATGCCCCCGCGGCATTCATGGACCTCATGAACCGAGTATTTCATCAATACTTGGACCAATTTGTCATAGTGTTCATCGATGATATTTTGATATACTCCAAGAACGAAGAAGAACACGAGAAACATCTAAGACTCGTGCTTGAAACACTGCGGGAGAAGCAACTCTTTGCCAAATTCTCTTAATGTGAATTTTGGCTTGGGGAGATCGGCTTTCTCGGACATGTGGTATCAGGCTCAGGCATTTCAGTTGATAACTCCAAGATTGAAGCGGTCACTAATTGGGAGAGGCCCAAGAATGTGAAGGAAATACGGAGTTTCCTCGGTTTAGCGGGATATTACCGCAAGTTCGTGGAGAAGTTCTCGGTGATAGCATCTCCACTCACGAAGCTCACAAAAAAGGGAGCTAAGTTTGTGTGGGATGACAAATGTGAGAAAGGGTTTCTTGAGCTAAAGAAACGGTTGACGGAAGCACCAGTACTTGCTCTACCCGTGCAAGGGTTGGGGTATGACATCTATAGCGATGCTAGCATCCAGGGACTTGGGTGCGTACTGATGCAATCGGGGAAGGTAATTGCTTATGCTTCTCGGCAGCTGAGGAAGCATGAAGTGAATTACCCCACACATGACCTTGAGCTAGGAGCTGTGGTGTTTGCTTTGAAGATATGGAGGCATTACCTCTACGGTGAGGTGTGTCACATCTATACTGATCACAAGAGTTTGAAGTACGTGTTCACTCAGAAAGAGTTGAACATGAGGCAAAGAAGATGGATGGAGTTAATCAAGGATTACAACTTGATTATTGATTACCATCCGGGTAAGGCTAACGTGGTTGCTGATGCTCTCAGTAGAAAAAGCTCATCAGGGGTTTTACTCACATGCTTAAGAGCATTGAGGGCACACGTGGAAGTATCCACGAATGGGGCTTTATTGGCCAGATTTGAGGTGAGACCCACCCTATTAGATGAGATCAGGACACGTCAAGGCAATGACGAAGAAGTTCAGAAAATCCGGGAGCGGATGCTGGCAGGACCTGTCGAGGGTTTCCGGGAGAGAGAGGATGGACTCTTACTATTCAAAGGACGGGTGTGTGTGCCATCAGACGAGGAGCTCCGTAAATCTATTCTTGAGGAGGCCCACTCATCTGCGTATGCCATGCACCCAGGCGGTACAAAGATGTATCGGGACTTGAAGGAAAGTTACTGGTGGTCGGGGATGAAGAGAGAGATTGCAGAATATGTGAGCCGTTGCCTTACCTGTCAGCAAGTTAAGGCGGAGCACCAGCACCCGGCGGGGTTATTACAGCCGCTTACCATTCCAGAATGGAAGTGGGAGCATGTTACCATGGACTTCGTGGTAGGTCTACCACGGACTGTTAGAAACTATGATGCGGTATGGGTGGTGGTTGACAGGTTGACCAAAAGTGCTCATTTCCTGCCTATTAACACTACTTATACGCTTGAGCGACTGGCCAAGTTGTATACAGATGAGATCGTGAGACTGCATGGGGTTCCGGTTACTATAGTGTCGGATAGAGACCCACGGTTCACATCACATTTTTGGCCTAAGTTCCAGGAATCCATGGGAACAAAGTTGAGGTTTAGCACGGCATTCCATCCTCAAACTGATGGGCAATCTGAACGGGTGATTCAGATTTTGGAGGACATGTTGAGGGCATGTGCCTTAGAGTTCCAAGGAAGTTGGGACAACCAGTTGGCTTTGGTGGAATTCGCCTATAACAACAGTTATCAGGCAAGTATAGGCATGCCCCCATACGAGGCATTGTATGGGAGGAAATGTCGGACACCTTTGTGTTGGGATGAGGTTGGCGAGGCCAAGCTCGAGGGTACGGAGCTAGTTGAAATCACCAAGGAGAAGGTGAGAGTTATTCAAGATAGACTCAGGGCTGCCCAAGATCGACAGAAGAGCTATGCAGATAAACGACGAAGGACATTAGAGTTTGAGGTTGGCGATGAGGTATTTCTGAGGGTGTCACCTTGGAAAGGGATCATCAGGTTCCTCAGTCGGGGTAAGCTCAACCCACGTTACATAGGCCCATTCAAAATCATTGAAAGAATCGGGGTCGTAGCATACCGGCTTCAGTTAACTCCAGAATTGGAAAAGATTCATAATGTATTTCATGTTTCCATGCTCAAGAAGTATGTACGGGACCCATCACATATTCTTGAGAGACCACCGGTAGAAATCCGAGAAGACCTACACTATGCAGTGCAACCAGTAAAGATCATGGACCGGCAGGTAAAGAAGCTAAGAAGTAAAGAAGTACCGATGGTAAAAGTGCTTTGGAAGAGTGATCGTGTTGAGGAGCAAACTTGGGAAGTGGAGACCCTGATGAGGGAACAGTATCCATTTTTGTTTGACTA